GGCATCCCATTACCTCCAGTCACCCTCTCCCCTCCTTCATGGGACACCTTTCTATTCTTCCAAGACCATAACAGCCAGGACATGTCAGAGCAGCCTGACACATCAGCCTCCCCCATCTAGCTGTTACCACATACCACGTCTTGGCTAATCTCCCCCAAACCCTGCCTTTCTCATGCCCTTCACTTCCCAGCTCAAAAACCATGCATGGCTCCCCATAACTCTCCAAATTCACTGCCCACCATCTACCGTCAACCTACCCTTTTGAACTACCTCTTGCTCTCACCCTCCATTCACAGCAAGTCCACAAGGCACACGGTTTCAGAGATGCTGAGCTCTGAGCCAGGCTCAGGGCAGGCAGAAAGCTGAAGATAGGGCTTATCGTCAGATCCAGTCAAGCTGCTTTACTCTCTGCCCCAGAACCAGCCGTGTTTAGGCTGTACCCACTGCCGAGAAAGCCATCTTTTCTCTTTGATTCTAATGTCATTATCTGAAGTTAGAAACAGCAGAAACCAGCTGCAGGAAACCAGAGTGTGATCGATATAACCTACCACTGCTTAAAGATGTGGATGCAGACTTTGACATATGGATAGACATTGGGTATAGACATATAGAAAAACATAAGGATAGACAAATGGATATACCTGTAGACATATAAAGAGGCACACACCTATTATGATCCTACCAGCAGTCTGCAAGAGTTTCTTCACATCCTCTCCAACATGTTATTGTCTTTTTTCTTTTTAAAATTATAGCTACCCAAACTAATGTGAAGTGGTATTTCACTGTGATTTTGATTTGCATTTCTCTAATGACTAATGGGGCTTCCCTGACAGCTCAGACAGTAAAGAATCCACCTGCAATGCTAGAGACCTGGGGTCGATCCCTGGGTGGGGAAGATTCCCTAGAAAAGGGAATGGCTACCCATTCTAGTATTCTTGCCTGGAGAATTCCATGGAAAGAGGATGTTGAGCATCTTCTCATGTACTTATTGGGCATTTGTATATCTTCTTTGGAGAAACATCCATTCAAGACCCCTACCCACCTTTTAACTGGGTTTTTGTATTTTTGTGGCTGAATTGTAGGAGTTCTTTATATGTTCTGGATTTTAAACTCTTATTAGATGTAGTATTTGCAAATATTTTCTCCCATCCTGTGGGTTGTCTTTTTACTCTCTTAATGGTATCCTTTGAGGCACAAAAGTTTTTAATCTTAATGAAGTCTAATTTATTTATTTTTTCTGTTGCCTAAGCTTTCGGTGTCACATGTAAGAAACCATTGCCAAATCCAAGGTCAGGCAGGTTTTCCCCTAGGCTTCCTTCTAACAGCTTTATAGTTTTAGTTCTTAAAATTTAGGTCTTTGATCCACTTTGAATTAATTTTTGTATATGACATAAGGAAGAGGTGGTGGTGCTCAGCACCATTTGTTGAAGAGAACATTTTTTTCTTCCTTGAATAATCTTGGCACCCTTGTTGAAAACCAACTGACCAAAGAGGTAAGGCTTTATTCCTGGGATTTCAACTCTGTTCTATTGGTCTACATGTCTGTTCTTCTGAAAATACCACCCTGTTTTGATTACTTTCACTTTGAACCAAGCTTTGAAATCTGGATTCCTTGAAACTCCATATGGATTTCAGGATGAGTTTATCCATTTCTGTAAAAGAAATACTATTGGGATTTTGATAGGAATTGCATTGAATCTGTATATCCCATTGGGTAGAATTGCTATCTTAACAATATTAACTCTCCAAATTTGTGAGCATGACTCCACTTTTTTTTAGAATCCTCTGGTTACCATTTTAATAGGGGATCCTATTAAAGTGGTAATGCCTGCAGAACTCAAAGACTTGAATCCCTGATGGTCAAATTTGAGGCCAATGGGAAAGACTCATTTCTCTAAGAAACAGCACAGAATGCTTTCAGAAATACCACAGATCAATTCAATAGGATCTATCCAGTGTCCCTAGGCTTGGGAGAAGCCGAACAGAAAGACAAAGGTTGCTTCAGAGTCTGGTCCACGATTCCTCCTGTATGTTGACAAGCAGTATGTGAGAATGCCAGCCTGCTGAAACATGCTTTACTCTCTGGATCACGACTGAAAATGAACCTCCCCAGGTCTTCCCTGGTGGTCCAGTGGTTAAGACGCCACGCTGCCAATGCAGGGAGCTCGGGACTGATTCCTGGTCAGGGAGCTAGACCCACATGCTGCAACTGAACAAAAAGAAAGAAAGATCCAGCATGCCTCAACTAAGACCTGGTGGAGCCAAACTACCGCCACCGCCGCCCAAAATGAACCTTCCTCCCCCGATTGGAGCATTCTGAAACTTTCTTCCAGGACCTGCCTGCCTTCTGCACAGGCTAATTTAATTCTCTCGAAGACCACAAGACAGCAGCAAGAGTGGAGCTGCCAAGAGGTCAGGAGGAGAGGCAGAGATCAGGGAAAGGAAAGGGGAGCGATGCCAGGGTGACGGTGTGGGCAGCACAGGTGTGCTCCGTGGATGGTGCCCCCTCCTCCCAGTCACACACGTGGTGGGTCTAGGATACTGACTGTGAGCGGGAAGCTGCCCGATGCCCATGGGTGGACGTGCTCAAAGTTAAAATAGATAACGAAATTGTTAGCACACCAGCATTTTCATATTATATAGCTGTAATTGATATAAGATTGTACATCAACTATGCTTCCATTTATAGAAAGAAACAGAAGTTTATGTATGGAAAGATGTGCCATGGCAAATTTTTCAAAAGGGAAGATATTTTTGAAAAATGTTCAACAAAAATGAAAGACTAGGACATGAATTGCAGCAAGATCTTTTTTGATCCACTCCCTAATGAATGAAATGAAAGTGAACATTTAAAAATGGGATCTAATTAAACTTAAAAGCTTTTGCTACAGCAAAGGAAACCATAAACAAGACAAATATCATATGGTATCACTTATATGTGGAATCTAAAAAAATGGGCTTCCTTAGTGGCTCAGATGGTAAAGAATTTGCCTGCCTTGCAGGAGATCCAGTCTCTATCCCTGGATCAGGAAGATCCCCTGGAGAAGGGAATGGCAACCCACTCCAGTATTCTTGCCTGGAGAATCCCATGGACAGAGGAGCCTTGTGNGGTTAACTGAGATCATTCTTGGGTGGTAGGGGTTAGGGGTGACTTTTAGAAGCAGATTTCAGGGACTTCCCTGGTGGTCCAGTGGCTGACTCCTCCTTCCCAATTCAGGGGGCCCCAGTTTGATTCCTGGACTAGGAACTAGATCCCACTTGCCAAGACTAAGAGTTTGAATGCAGCAACTAAAAGATTCTACATGCCGCAACTAAGACCTGGTGCAGCCAAATTAAAAAAAAAAAATAGTTTTTTTTAAATGGAAAAATATCAGTTAGAAAACGTGGGTTTCATTTTTTCAAAATTCTCTAATATGCCTGAATTAAATGCATAATCTGAAAAAAATACATATACACATGCACATAGATACACACATACTACACACACATAAGAAAACAGCATTTTCGTTTAATACTGGGGATGGAGGAAATGAGGGGGAAATCAGGGATAATAAAGATCTCTCTCTCTCCCTGGCCCCCCATCTCTCTTCCCCTCATGAGAAGACACATCAAGAAGACAGCCACCCTCAAGCCAGGAAGAAGGCCTTTATCAGCTGGCCTACATCAGAGTTGTAGGCTTTTATAATAAACTGGTAATTAGTAAATAAGCTGCTCTCCTGGTTCTGTGAGCCATTCTAGAAAATGACTGAGCCTGAGGAGGGAGTCCCGGGAACCCCCAGTTTATAACTGGTTGGTTAGAAGCACCAGAGGCCTGGGGGCTTCCCTGGTGGCTCAGAGGGTAAGGAATCTGCCTGCAATACAGCAGACCTGGGTTTGACCCCTGGGTGGGGAAGATCCCTCGAAGAAGGGAACAGCAACCCGTTCTAGCATCCTTGCCTGGAAAAGCCCATGGACAGAGGAACCTGGAGGTCCATGGGGTCACAGAGAGTTGGACATGACTGAGTGGCTGACACTTTCACACTGGAGGCCTGGACTCTGAAGTGGAGGTGGGGGCAGCCTTGGGCGGACTGAGCATAGCCCCCAAACCCCAGCTAACCAACCAAACAGAAAGCATGGCGACTGGCGTCAGAAGTACTGAGGGCAGAGGAAGAAAACAGCTTTCCCTCTTGTGTGGGAGTTGCTTCCCCTGGACGCAGGCTGGGCAGGATGGACTAACCGGGCCTGGAGTCGAAGGAGGCCGATTCTCCTCCAGGCCCAGGCCCTGAGCAGCTTACCAGCCCCTGCCCGAACAGATTAGCACACATTTAGCAGCTCAGAACCATGCAAGTGACTTATCTCACGTTTTGTGGTCAGAGGCCCAGCAGGCCTGGCTGGTTCCCCCGTTCTGGGCCCCACAGGGCTGAAATCTAGGTGTGGGCCGGGCAGCGTCCTTACCTGGAGGTTCCGGGGACAGTCTGCCTGCAGGGTCACTCCACCGGTGGGTGAGCCTGGTCCCATGTGCTGTAGGATGGAGGTGCCTGCCTCTTGGCGGGCGGTGAGCCCCCAGAGGCCTCACATTCTCCGAGAGCAGCTCAGACGCCTTGCCTGCCTCCTCTGTAGCTGACCCTCTCTGACCTCAGGTGGAACCACTTCTCTGCCTTTAAAGGCTCGCGTGGGATTCAATTGGACTCACCTGGATCCTCTCCCCACCTCAAATCTTCAACCACATCTTCAGTGTCTCTTTTGCCATGTCAGGCAACATATTCACAGGTTCCAGAGAGTCATCTCATGGTTTTATCCACTGACAGTCTCTGCTTAAACCATCTGTTTCATCAGAGGTTGCAAAAGGGTGGTATTTCTAACTTGTACTTTCAACAAACATTATGTAGGATTTTCCACTTAAAAATTTTGTTTCTTTATCAGTCTTGGCCGTTTGTTTATCCTGAAATAAAGTTTGTATGAGAAAGGCTGGGTTTATTTCTTATTCATTGTTTTCTGAAAAAAAAATACAAGGGGGAAAAGGTACCCTAGGTACTTTCAGTGATGATCTGTGACTACATGTTTCTTTTTTTTTATTTAAAAAACTTTTAATTGTAGGAAAATTGCTTTACAATGTTGTGTTGGTTTCTGCCATATAATAAGCCAAGTCAGACGATTACCAGGGACACTTTTGGGGTACCTGTTGACGGAGGAACTGGTGGGAGAGCCAAGTACACCTGGTGGCAGGTATCTTGGCAGGAGGTGGAGATTTGAACAGGTGTGGCAGGCACTCTTGGTTGACTGACCCAACCCCCACCCATGCCTGTCTTCACCGCCCCCCTTTCTGGAGTCACTTTTAAGCTGCAAGCAATGCATGACGGATCCGGGTAAGGAAACCTAAGACTTTGCTGGGTGAGGCTTTGAGTAAGACACCCTGTGGGTAGGTGTCCTCCACCTTTCTGCTCCTCCAGCCTGATGGCGAACCCGCCACCCAGAGGGGCAACAGCTACTTCAGTGCCAGGAAGACTCAACTAGACAACTAAAGAGGGTGGAGCCAGAAGGAGCTAGGGATGAGCGTGCCCCGAGTGACACTCAGCCATCTCTGGAGACATTTTTCTTAAAAGAATTGATTTACTTATTTGGCTGTGACGGGTCTTTTGCATCGTGGCACACAGGCTTTCCAGCTGTGTTGCATGGGTTCCCGAGTGCGTGAGCTTAGTCGTCCTGCAGCGCGTGGGGTCTTAGTTCCCCGACCAGGGATCGAACCCACGTGCCCTGCACCGAAAGGTGGATCCCTAGCAGGGAAGTCCCTGGAGACGTTTCGGCTACTGCCCTTGGGAGTGGTGAGCCCGCATCTCCTGGGCAGGGAACCAGAGGCCGCTGCTCAACGTCTGACACTCCTCACACCATGAAGAACTATCCAGGCCCGGACACCAACTGCCATGGTGGAGACAATCCGCTCCCGGGGAAAGCCTGACGGAGCTGTTGAGTGACTCCTGGATTGCCTGCCTTAGGATTTCATCAAATGGGACCAAAAAGACCCAATCATTTAAGCGCCTGAGTTGGGCTACCTGTAATGTGTGGCTGAGTGAATCTCAGCTTCCTAGAGCAGGGAAAGCTCTTGGATGGAAGCCCATCCCAGGGTAATCTTCAGACGACACTGTAGAAGGATGATTCTGTGGGCACTTTCCACGGTTATATGGGACATCCCAACTTTTCTTTGAAGCAGAGAGAAGACAACCATTCAGTCGCTTCTTTCGCTAGAAGATGCCAACACCAACAGTCCCCTCCACCCACGTCGCCAGTAGGATCGGCTGGGTCCAAGATTACAGGCCTAAACGAGAGGTTAGGAGTCATTAGAGGCAAGCATTTTCAGAACCGGTGGCCTCAGAATTAGGGGCCCATTCTCTTTTCCATGATAAAACAATGTGTCTTTCTAGCTTAGATGTCAGTCATTCCAATGTACTGAAACAGTTCGAAAGGATTTCCTAGAATTAAATCATATTGGTCAGAAAAGTTTTGAAAGCTATTCATTATTATGCACAGGAAGGCATGGTATAAACATCTCCCCATGCTGGTGCAATTGAAGTATGATTTATCATTTAATCAACAATATTTCCCAGGTGGCTCAGTGATTAAAGAGCCCGCCTGCCAACACAGGAGATGCAAGTTGGATCCCTGGGTTGGGAAGATCCCCTGGAGGAGGAAATGGCAACCTACTCCAGTATTCTTGCCTGAGCAATCTCATGGACAGAGGAGCCTGGTGGGCTACAGTCCATGGGGTTGTGAAGAGTCAAACACGACTAACTGAACACTCACTGTCAAGCTGGTCACACCCACGGCTGGCAAGCCACGGTATCTTTTTCTCTTTTTTTCCTCTCCTTCCTCCATTCTTTCTCAGTGTTCCTCTATTTCCTCTCTTCTCTCTTCTCTTTCTTCCCTTGTTTTGGTTCCCTGCTGCTGGCACTGAGTGCATGCACTAAGATTCCTTCCTATTCTTGAGGAGAACAGTTTTGTAGGATGGAGATGGGAACCCGATCTAATAAATAACCTGCAGGATCCTTCAGCAGTGAATAATAGCATCATTTCTGAGGGACACTTTTCCAACTCCCACACCTTTTAGACCTGCTAATGAATCCCTGCTTTTCCTTCTGACCAAGAAAGATGAAAGCAACTCAGGACCTGGTACCCTGGTCCTTCCCACTCTGTTCCTCCTGGGTGGCATTTCCCCTGCTTCCCTGGAGACCGAGGGAGGTTCTGATGGTCAGCACAGTTCCCTTCTCAGTTTCATATGAGGAATAATGAATCAGCGCTCCTGGGAGGTGAATTCTGATCACCGAAATAGTGTTGGAGGGAATAAGGTTAAGAAACGGAGGGGTTTGGAGCACCTGGTTCTCTTCATCTGGTCCAGAAGGAAGTTCCTCAGAACTTTGCTCTCATCATTCAAACTGTAGTTGACCAACCAGAAGATACAGAGATGCTGATATTGTATGACCAACTCCAGGACCGTCCAGAAACCTTCAGCCAAGTCAAAATCCTGTGCCCTGCTCCCCTTCTCCCAGGCATAGATGGTGAGCAACTCCAAGGCATACTTGGGGGGCAGAGACCCCTTTTGCTTCAGTTTGCATTCACACTGAGGGAAGAGCGGAAACATCAGCGATACTGGTTAAAGCAAGGAGGTGACACGCGCGTAGCAAGAAGGTACACACGAAGGATGCTGTGGCCACAGCGGGACAACTGCGTCATGAGACACAGCCTTGGGGGGACTGGTCTGCTGGCGGCCTGAGAAGGGCCAGTCTGCAGCTCAAAGGCAGCCACGCAGGCTTCTTTGTTGAACTTTGGCTTTATGTGCCTTCCCAGAGTTATAACGTAGTCTTGTCCTGGATTTCGGTGGCTCGGACAGTAGAGAATCTGCCTGCAATGAGGGAGACCCGAGTTCCATCTTTGGGTCAGAAAGATGCCCTGGAGGAGGGCATGGCACCCTACTCCTGTACTCTTGCCTGGGGAATCCCAAGGACAGAGGAGCCTGGCAGGCTACAGTCCGTGGGGCCGCAAAGGGTCGGACACGACTGAGCGACTAACACTTTCATCACTTCCTAAAGCCCCACTCTGTGCTAATTATGTGGCCAGACATTCCACCTGCATCATTCATTCCTCATTCTCCAGCAGGCAGAGGTCACCGTGACGAGGTCATGGGGAAGCAAAGTCCTTTCTCAAGGTCACCCGGGAGCCCTGAGCGCTCTGAGCACCCCGGGGCTGAGTGTAGAGCTGGAAACCACAGAGTTCAGTCTTTTCCAGTTTCAGGAATCTGGACACAGAAAGGAAACATCTCCCGAAAGAGCAGCTATCCTGTGGGGGCTCAGAAAATGCCCCCATGAGCTGATGGAAGTGAAGAGAGGTAAATCAGTCCAGAAAATGCAGCCTGGTGCTGCCTGTCACTCCAACCTGCCTTCCAAGAGTAGCATCTGTGTGTGTTATGGGCACCCATCAGTAGGTAAGCCATGCTGGCGACTTGTAGGCATGCACATCCCAACTTCATCCTCCCTTCAGTTCCAGAATTCTTTGGGTGTCAGAGCAAAGGCAAAATAAACCACATGTATAGCAGCTTTGGGGGTATGAGGGGCTTACATCTGACCCAACTCAATGGGGTTAGTGATGCGAACACCGCAAAGACACTCAGGTTAAGAGCGGGAAGATTCCGTAATGTGGTTCGGTCCCCACCCAGCATGGGCAAGTGTGAGCACCTGGTGAGTGCTGGTTTCGTGGTCACAGAGTACTGATAATATAAAGGCCAGGACTTCGCTGGTGGTCTGGGGGTTAAGAATCCGCCTGCCACTGCGGAGGACTCGCATTCAGCCTCTGGTCTGGGAAGATCTCACATGCAGCGGGGCAACAGAGCCCCAACTATTACTGAAGCCTGCATGCCCAGAGCTGGCGCCCCGCCACAAGAGAAGCCACCGCAACGAGAAGCCCGCACACCGCAACTGGAGAGTGGCACCTGCTCGCTGCAGCCAGAGAAAGCCCGCGTGCAGCCCACGCCCAGCGCAATCAAAAATCACCACGATAAGGGCTTCCCTGGTGGCTCAGTGGTAAAGAATCTGCCTGCCAGTGTAGGAGACACAGATTTGATCCCCGGGCTGGGAAGATCCCACATGTGATAGGGCAACTGAGCCCAAGTCCCACAACTACCGAGCCTGCGCTCCAGAGCCCGGGAGCCGCGACTTGTGAGCCAGTATGCTGCAACAGCTGAAGCCCACGTTCTGCAGCTGCTGAAGCCCGCGCACCGACAGCCCGTACTCCACAAGGGAAGCCACCGCAGTGAGAAGCCCGTGCACCGCACTAGAGAGCAGCCCCCACTTGCCGCAACGAGAGAAAAGCCCAAGCGGCAACCAAGACCCAGTAAAGCCAAAAATAAATAAAAGCATTTTAAAAAATACAATAAATAAGTAATTAAAAATAGTAATAGTGAGGTGGCTCTAGGACAAGAGCTGTCATACCCATTTGTACCAGTGCTTCACCAGGTGAATTAAATCCTTCAGTTTGGGGGGCAGGGAGTGAACAAAATTGTGCTGTAGCTTCGTGAAACATGCAGAAAATTCTCCCCCCAGGGAAACATCAGAAGATTTATACAAACTGATGAGTTCAGCATAGGTCCTGGGGCTGGATGTGGAGCCAGACATCAGTTCACCTAGCATGGGCAAGAAATTTACATTATGCTATAGTCTTTCCAGACAGTAACAGATCTCAAAACACTGTCAATACAATTTAATTCTGGGAAATTACTTTGAACTCTATTAGTATATGTAAACTACTGATGTCTAATATCTCCAGAGTAATGAGTTATTAAAAATTATATGGTTTATATGACTATAGATGGCATTATTATCTGGATCTGCACTGTCCTATAGGGCAGCCATCAGCCAAGATGGCTATTTGCATTCAAACTCATTAAAGGAAAATTGAAAAATTTAGTTTGTCAGTAGCACTAGCCACATTTTAATAGATACAGATACACATTAATAGATAGATTAATTATTAGACATCTATTAATAGATAAATAGATACACAGTTAATAGCCACATCTCCATAGATACAGAACACAGGTATAGGACATTTTTGTTATTGCAGAAAGGCTTTCTGGACAGTGCTAACCTGAACTTTGGAAACCATGGCCCCCAGATGACATCTGGCCCCTTTCTTGTTTTTATAAATAAAGCTTTATTGGGACACAGTCATGCTCACTTATTAATGTATTGCCTATAACTGGTTTCAAGCTACAAAGGCAGAGTTGAGTAGTTGTGATAGATACATTATGGTCCTTAAAGCTGAAAATATTTGCTCTCTTATCTTTTATAGGGCTTCCCTGGTGGCTCAGATGATAAAGAACCTGCCTGCAATGCAGGAGACCAGGCTTGAAAAAGTTAGCTGACCTCCAATCTATATACTGTCATTTCCTCTCTAAAGACACTAAGGACCATTCAGAAGGAAAGTACCAGAGTCTTCTTGATTTTGATTTGGAAAATGCCTGACATACCCTTGGTTTCTTTTAATACGTCATTGTGTATCTGTCACTTACAAATTGAATTTCTAAAGGAAATTTTTGCCTATGATTGAAGGTGAACACCCAGATTTCCTGTTTTTGCCTCAGAATTTCTCCCAAAGTCTATTTTTAAAATTTCCTCCCCTAATACTTGAGGCATTTCATCTATAAATGTGTACTGAATTCCTGTGTACCTCATTCTCTGATAGACTCTGCGAGTGATACCGTGGGAACATATGATGCCGGTTCTGGCTGCTGCTGTTGTTGTTGAGTCGCTAAGTCACGTCCGACTCTGTGACCCCATAGACTGCAGCCTTCCAGGCTCCTCCGTCCATGGGATTCTCCAGGTAAGAGTACTGGAGTGGGTTGTCATTTCTTCCTCCAGGGGATCTTCCCAACCCAGGGGTCGAACCTGCATCTCCTGCATCGGCAGGTGGATTCTCTACCACTGAACCACCAGGGAAGCTCTCTGGCCTTCATCGGGATACTTAAATGAGAATGAAAATGCACACAGATGTAAGATGTTGGTGTCATTATGTCACCTGTTGGGACACTGGACCCCAGACTGATGAGTAAGTCACGTGACTTCCCCTCTACCCCTCCCCTGCCTCCATCACGTGACTTCCCCTCTACCCCTCCCCTGCCTCCATCACACCAGAATCCCTCTTCCTCTTCCAGAGGCTCAAATCTTGGGAGTCTTACCCAGGGCATTAAATGCAGGCAGCACATCAAAGTCAACGCTTTCACTGAGGACTTTGGATTTCAGAGTGAAGCTCGGCACCCAGCGAGCCTTCCATTTTGAAATCTCAAACTTCACTTCAAAATCCTTCTTCTGCTGACAGGCTTCCAGCTGCTTCTGGATTTCCTTGATGATGTTGCATCTCTCGTTTTGGGGGGAGGTGTAGCTTTTCAGCGAGTCTGCGAACACTACGAGGTTGGCATCGGAGCCAGTCTTCAGAGCCGTGCCTTTTGCAGTCGACCCCCCACCTAGGGAAGAAAGGCAAATCGAGATACAGCATTTTCTAGAGCTTGAGCCCCTCGCCCCTGTGGGCTGGCACCCATTGGGCTAATTGATAAGGTTGCCGGGGGTAGTCCCAAGTTTGTGTCTCCAATTAGGGCTAAGTCCTCAGCAGGGTGTTTCATTTTCCCAAGAAATAGAATCCTCTGATTCCAAAAATGGTTTGTCTCACACTTTTTGATGTGTGAATTTACCCACAAACAATGGATGGGTTAGTTTTAAATTACCTACTTCTCAAGTCAACGTCCTAAATACTTCTGGTAAAGATGCATTTATATTACATTATCTTAAACAATTGCGAATCACTATATTATACACCTTGTGTGTGCTCAGTCACTCAGTTGTGTCTGACTCTTTGCGACCCCATGGACTGTAGCCCACCAGGCTCCTCTATCCATGGGATTCTCCAGACAGAACACTGGAGCAGGTTGCCATCTCCTACTCCAGAGAATCTTCCAGGACCCAGGGATCAAACCTGAGTCTCTTGCATCTCCAGAATTGGCAGGTGGATTCTTTACCTCTGTGCCACCAGGGAAGCCCAACTGTATGCCTTACTGTGCCTTATATGATATTCTACAGCAGCTACACTTGAAATCAATAAGTTTAAAAAGAGACCAGAGTGAGAAAAAAATATCTTCAACTAGTAGTAAAAATCTAAAATTTTCCCACTACAAGTGATACACTACAAGCCAAGGATGGGCAGGGATGGCCAAGCAGCAGTCCTTCACCTCTGTGTCAACCTTGGAGGTTAACGCAGAATCAGAAGTCTATCGTGAATGGGAATTCCCTGGTGGTCCAGCGGTTAGAACTCAATGCCATAGGCCCTGGGGTTCGATACCCGGTAAAGGAATAGAGATCCTTCGAGACACACCATGTGCCCCACCCCAAAGTCTCTCGTCAATGACTTAAGCGGTGCCTCCGCATCCCCCACTGAGAGCTGGGGTCTCAGGCATTGATCTCCCCAGCTTCCCTCCCGCATCCTTTCCCTCACATTTCCGGTGGTCACATTTCCGGTGGTCACAACCCTTGCCGAGACCCAGGGACTGCTTAGTTCCCCGCCAAGAGCAAAGAAAAAGGCCAGGGCTCACCTGGATAACTTGAATCTTTGTAGTTGAATGTCAAAAGCAATTTTCTTCATGGAATGAACAGATGGTTTTAAGAGCCTTCTTGATCTGGTCTTGGAAAGTCTGGTCGGGCTGGAGAAAGTCCTCGATGAACTTATCGAGCAGATGGCCTGGGGTCATATAGAGTGGTGCAGGCTGTGGAAGAAGCCAGCTGTGAGATGCCCCCTGCCAGCCACCACCTCCCATCCCGCTTCCTCCCCCGCCTCCTCTGTTCCACCGACCCTTCCCTCCTGCTCTCCAACCCTCCTGCAGGTACCTTTGTCATCTTGAGTTCTCATATCGACATACCCTGAGTTTCAGGTGGTAGCCAGGATCCGCCTGAAACGAAAGCTGCCCTCCTTGCCCCGCCTTACCCCCAGGAGGGATCTGGCTCCTTCTCCCAAACAGGTCTGTGACGCCCCGGGCTCTGAATCACTCTCCAGTTTGCAGTTTCTGTTCTGGCTTCGTCTGCCAATGGCCAGTACCTCCTATGAATAGCTTCTCCTACTGCCGTGTTCCTTCCTTACTTTCCCACTCATTGTGGGTATTGTTGACTCCTGATGATCACACTCATTCCTTTTTTCAAGGTCCTATCAGACTCTGTTAAACACCCTGTGCCCAGGTGGACTGATTTCCAGGCGCTGCTGTAACAAACCACTAAACACTTGAAATCAAAGCGTAGGCGGGGCCAGGCTCTCTCCAAAGGCTCCAGGAAGAATCCTTCCTCGCATCTTCCAGCTTCTGGCAGTCCTGCCATCTTCCTTGTCTTGTGGCAGCATCACACCTACCCCTGCCTCTGTTGTTATGTGACCTTGTCCCCTCTGTGTCTGGCCCTGAGTGTCTTATAAGACCCAGTCATTGGATTCAGAGCCCACGCTGATCCAGGGTGACCCCTTAACCGATGATACCTGCAAAGACCCTGCTTCCAAAGAAGGTCACACGCTGAGGATCTGGGGGGACGTGAATTTTCTGGGACACTATTCGACCCTTCAAGGTAGGGGATGTTGTTCCCTCTAAGTGTGTGGAAGAGAGGGATGTCCTGGGGTCGGAGGGGCTGTGTGCTCATTCTGAAGGGGACAGTTCCCTGCTCTCGAATCAAATGGGGTTGTGGAGGGTGGGACCTGCTCACTCCCTCGCACCTGTGGTCGCTTCTGGAAGGAAACCATGCTCTGATGGGTAAAGGGGGTCTGACACCCGCCCAAAAGCGTGGTTCTCTCCTCTTCAGTAGAAAACGTCAGATAGGATGTGCACTGTGGACCACAGCTCAAGACACCTCACCCGAGCCTCTTCTCTTTGCTCTTCTGCTCAGGCCTCAGTCTGCAGAGGCAGTTTGCTTCTTGCTCAGGGGACGGAAAACAGCGATACCCCTCCCCAGCGTCGGTGTCCTGCTCTGTGACTCTGCCTACCTTATGCGGCAGATGGGACCTTGCAGATATGATCAGACTTGTGTGGATCGATGAGCTTCTCCTTTGAGGGAGGGGAGAGGGGAAGTCAGTGCATCTGGCCGTGTCATTAGTTTCCATCTCCAGCCTCACTTCTCACTCTCACCCCCACCCCCACCCCCATAGTGTGTGAAAGGGGCTCAGGGCCTGATCCAGCATCTGCTGGCGGGGCCACCACCCACGTCTCCTGGGCTCTGCTCCATTTCACCTGTCACCACCTTCTCACCTGCTTCCTCTCTTGCAGAAACTAACCTCTCGTCTGCAGATGCCCTGTTCCTCTTTGTTCAGCTTTACACTTGACCATCATTTTAATGGGAGGGAAGGCCCCTAAGGGTGTGTGTACAGACTGAACCGTGTCCTCCTAAAAACTGCATTGAAGTCCCAACCTCTAGGCCCCATGCATGTGACCTTATTTGGAAATAGGGTCTTTGCAAAGAGGTAATCAAGTTAAGGGGCAACCCCTGGTGGTGCAGTGGTAAAGAACCCGCCTGCTAATGCACGAGGTGCAGGCTTGATCCTTGGGTGAGGAAGACCCCTTGGAGCCGGAAATGGCGACCCACTCCAGTATTCTTGCCCAGGAAATCCTGTGGACAGAGGAGCCTGGAGAGCTGCAGTCCGTGGAGTCACAAAAGAGTCGGACAGTGAGCAAACAATGAAAAGAATCGAGTTAAGGTGAGGTCTTGCCTGTCGGCCCTTATTCTGTATGACCGGTGTCCTTATAAGAAGAGCAGAGAGACAGAGAAACAGACAAGCATGGAGGGCAGACACTGTGAAGACACAAGAGAGGTTCGCGTGACAACGGAGGTAGGGACTGGAGTGACGCTGCCACAAGCCAGGGGTTTCTGGCAACCATGAGAAGCTGGAAGAGGCGTGGAAGCACCCTTCCTTGGAGCCTTCAGAGGGAGCACGGCCCTCCGATGCCTCGATCTTGGCCTTCTAGTCCCCAGAACTGAGAAGGGATACACTTCCGTTGCTTTAAGCGACCAGCGCATGGTACTTTGTCACGGCGGCTCTGGGAAACCAACTTGGGGTGATCTTGGAGAGACTGCAGTCCAAGTGGCAGGCGGGCCCTGTCTGCAGCAGCGGTGCTGGGAAGTCCTCTCACCAGAACATTCCAAGATGGTCCAGGCGACTCGTTCTGCCTGAGAGAATGCAACCAGTTTTGAGCTTCGTTTTTTAGCAGTGGCCAGGAGATGTTATCTTTGCTCATATTATTGGTTGGGTCAGTTGGATCCAAGATTACCGGCCTATAAATTCCATTCGGTTAAAAAAAATAATAATCAGTTGGGTTGCTTGTGGGAGAAGAAGTCAGTTTAAGGGAAAGAGGGCTGGACTGGGCACTCAGGAATCTGTATTTTACCTCCTGCAGTTCCTCCCAATTGCTGAAGTGCTTTGTCTAAGATGTCCAGCCTCTCTGGTCTTGTTTACTCTGCTTCATAGACATGTTCCATTCATAAAATAATAAAACGATCTCCTCTTTTTGCTGACCCGTCTTCTTAGCCCCTTCTATGATGAGAAGTGCTTGCTTTGCGGACAAAAGGTGACAATGGTTTAGAATGTGAGAAATGCTGAAGCATTCCTCTTTCAGACAGACCTCTCTTTGCCTCCCTAACCACTGCAGCTGGTGTTCTTTTGACAGATCCCCTGGCTGGGGAAAGTGGGGATGGACCCTCATTCTAAGGGGGCACAGCCTGGCATGCAGATAAAGAGGGAAGGAGACACGGAAGGGGAAGCTTGGTACCTCGGGGCTTGGAGCTGGCTCAGCAGGATGTTGCAGATGGTCTCACCTCCAAAGCTGTAGTTGACCGTCCAATAGACACATAGCTGGAGTGGGTTGCCATGCCCTCCTTATTTATATATAATAAATATATATTACATATGTAAGGTATGTGGACTTCCCAGGTGGAGCAGTAGTAAAAGGTTCCACCCCACCTGCCGATGCAGGAGAAACAGGAGAAATGGGTTTGATCCCCAAGTCAGGAAGATTCCCTGGAGGAAGAAATGGTACCCCACTCCAGTATTCTTGCCTGGGAAATCCCATGGACAGAGTAGCCTGGTGGGCTACAGCCCATGGGGTCGCAAAGAGTCAGATACAACTGAGCAACTGAGCACGCATGTGCGTGCGCGCGCACACACACACACACACAGTATACCTTATAGCAAAGCAGTTTCACTCCTGCATTTTTACCCAAGAGGAACTGACTGCTTAAAGTCACCAGAAAGAAAGACATGTAGGGGAATATCCATTGTAGCCTCATTCATGACAGCCCCAATGTGGGAATGACCCACATGCCTCTTAGCAGGGGAATGCATCCAAGTACAGTGTATCAATGCAATGGAATAGTATCAAACAATGAAGAACCACTACTCCCTGCAACAACAAGAAAAACCTCTCAGGCCTAATACTGAGCAAAAGTACGTTTAGTATGATTCCACTGCCACCGAGTTTAAAAACAAAACTAATCTGTGGCGACAGATGTTAGGACAGAGGTTTGTTTGGGAGCAGTATGGACTGGGGTGCAGGAAATGTGCCCTATTTCGATCTGAGGATTGCCTAAAGGCTATAAGAATGCATCGAACTGTATTCTTAATAGCAAAGCAGTTTCACTCCTGCATTTTTACCCAAGAGGAACTGACTGCTTAAAGTCACCAGAAAGAAAGACATGTAGGGGAATATCCATTGTAGCCTCATTCATGACAGCCCCAATGTGGGAATGACCCACATGCCCCTTAGCAGGGGAATGCATCCAAGTACAGTGTATCAATGCAATGGAATAGTATCAAACAATGAAGAACCACTACTCCCTGCAACAACACGGGAAAACCTCTCAGGCCTAATACTGAGCAAAAGTACGTTTAGTATGATTCCACTGCCACCGAGTTTAAAAACAAAACTAATCTGTGGCGACAGATGTTAGGACAGAGGTTTGTTTGGGAGCAGTATGGACTGGGGTGCAGGAAATGTGCCCTATTTCGATCTGAGGATTGCCTAAAGGCTATAAGAATGCATCGAACTGTATTCTTTTGTGTGTGTGTGTTTGTGGCACATGGGATCTTACTTCCCCTACCAGGGTTCGAACCTGCACCCGCTGCATTGGAATGGTGGTATCTTAACCCCTGGGCCACCAGTAAAGTCCTGAGCTGTATTCTTGAACGTGAACATGTTAGTCACTCAGTCATGTCCAACTCTTTGTGACGCTGTGGACTGTAGACCACCAGGCTCCTCTGTCCATGGGATTCTCCAGCCGAGAATACCAGAGTGGGTTTCCTCCTCCAGGGGGTCTTCCTGACCCAGGGTCTCCTGCATTGCAGGCAGCTTCTTTACTGTCTGTGCCACCATTCTTAATGATGTTGTATTGACACTTTACCCAGGATGAATCATCTCAGTCAAAGGCAAACAGATGATAGATAGCAATAGACACACAATTTGAAATTTACCTTTTGACACCAGTACTTTACCAAGAGGATCAAATCCTTTAGTTTGCTGGGGTAGCTGCTAAAAAACTTCTCCTGGAGTTCAGTGAAGCAGACTGAGAACACACCGGGCCCGGCTTTCACCGTATCCAAGGATCTTTTGAGTTCTCGATAGCTCCAGAGGCTGAACTTCTCACTTAAGCCTGGTGTGAAAGAGAAGCAGAACGTCTGATTTTCAGGGAGCCTGGCCTTGGAGAGCCCACAAAGAAGGCTCGATGCGGCTAGATAGCACACGTTCACTGCTTCATCTGTAAGAGGATGGGGGTATTTGCATAAAAGGTGAGGGGTGGTCTGTCCTGCTAGATAATAAAATGTAGTTAGGCTAATATTTAGTAAAGAATGTAATTTAAAAATTCCCCTGTAGTTTCCTTTTCTCAGAAATGAAGTGAAATGTCAGTCGCTCAGTCGTGACCAACCATCTGAGCTACCGGGGAAGCCCTACTTTTCTCAGAAAGCAACCACTATTGCATAGTCTAAGGAAAAAAAAAAAAAAGAGAGAGAGAGTCAAGTTTGGAATGTGTCACTCTGCCGCCATCTCGTGGAAACTTCTGGATACTTCATGTGAGGAAGACCTGGTCTTTCGTTCTCACATCATTCTTGCATGACGAGGTGAAGCCAACAGAGGGCGCTCTGGCCTTATCTCCAGCCACTGTGCTCTGAATCAGAGGCGAGAACATAGGATTTCCTACGAATTCTGAGTCACAGTTATTGTTTCGTCTAGGGAAAAAGAAAAAAAAGACAGAGAGATTCAAGTTTGGAATGTGTAACTCTGCCGCCATCTCGTGGCAGCTCCTGGATACTACATGTGAGGAAGACCTGGTCTTTTCGTTCTTACATCATCCTTGCATGACGGGGAGTAGCCAGCAGAGGGCGCTCTGGCCTTATCTCCAACCGCCCTGCTGTGACCCAAAGGAGTTCAGTTCAGTTCAGTCGCTTAGTCCTGTCCGACTCTGCGACCCCGTGAACCGCAGCACGCCAGGCCCCCCTATCCATCACCAACTCCCAGAGTCTACCCAAACTCATGTCCGTTGAATCGGTGATGCCATCCAACCATCTCATCCTCTGTCGTCCCCTTCTCCTCCTGCCCTCAATCTTTCCCAGCATCAGGGTCTTTTCCAATGAGTCAGCTCTTCGCATNCTTCCCCTTGTCTCCAGCCCTCCTGCTGAAATGGAGCAGGACACTATGGTCCTTGCCTCCTCCCACCCCCACCATGTTCTCTGTCTGCCTTTTGCCTGTGGAAAACTTTAGTCAAAGGATAAGTGTAACCAGAGAGATGAGAACATGCAGAAATAAAGGAAAAGAGTCAAAGGAGACCAAATAATAATAATGTAGTTATTAAACATAATTGAGCTACAGTCCGTGGGGTGGCAAAGATTCAGACTCGACTAAACGACTAACTCAACATTAAGCTTAGCCAAGGACCTTTGAGAGTTTCCTTCTCAAGGATTATAGATAACATTCTGAGCCATATATGTGAGCTGTCATATAGATACTAAAACTCCAGGTGGAAGAACTTAACTACACGATGACCAGACTGTACCCATGACATGAGCTGCCACAGTTCTGAGAATGGACCCCAAAGAAAATGGAAATAAACCGACCCTAGAACTGAAGATAAACTGCACCTAAAACTATTGAGATGATGCTGGTCAGATCACTGATGACCAATATGAAGATGACTGTCAGAGCTGACTGTACTTTTTCTTCATGTAACACCCTCCCTTGGTCTATAAAAGCTTGTCTCCACTATCAGCGGGAGGAGTCAACCTTTGGACAGATGTCTGCCCTCCCCCAAAGTTGCTGGCATCTGAAATAAAGCTAACTTTCCTTTCCATCAGCTTGGCCTATTTATTGACTTTAGGACGGTGAGCAGTTGGACCCACACACCTTTCAGTAACACTTTGAGTCAGGCATGTATTCTCAGTTCTTACTGTCTGAAAGGCCCTGGAAGTTAGCTTTTTCTAGCTTGATCTTACAGTTGGACAAAGGTGGGTTAGTAGTAGGATCAGGGTGATAATTCAGGGCTGCCTAACTCACAAACTGCTGCATTTTTTTTCTCTGAACTAGGTCACCTTTCTGTGAATGTGAGTCATCAGGTTGTGTGTGTGTGTGTCCACTTTGAAGGCACCAGGCCTGACGCTTAAAAGACTCGGGCTTTTATTCTATTTCTGTCAGTAACTGGGTGTGTGGCCCCGGATACAGTCATTTTTTTCTGATTCCATTTGTTTAATGAGGGGTTGGATGTCAACGCTGATATTTAAGTTTGTGATAATATATGTACCTAATGCTTGACACTAAGCTGTGACTATGGTGAGTCTTATTCACTCAATCAACCAACCATCCATCCAGCCAGCCAACCATCCTTTCATCCATTCATCCATTCATCCATCCAGTCAACCATCCTTCCATCCAACCACGAATCCATTCAAACAGTTGCCCATGGAAGAGCCTTGCCTTGATGTTGACCTGATTAGAGGGCAACTCCAAACCTGCTCTAGCTGAACTTTTCTCAGATGTTTTCCCCATTTTCTACCTCTAACCAATGTTTATTCTAGTTTACATCTTCACTATGGTCCGCAGAGCAGCAACCACCATGAAGCTGGATGGAAATATAGAATTCTGGACCCCAATCTCTTGAAGCAGAACCATCATTTTAACAAGTTTCTCAGGGGATTTGTGTGCATATCACAGTTTGAGGAACTCTACTCTAGGTTTCAGAGCCTAGAACATTTTCTCCAAAGTCAATTAGGAGTTAAAGGAGAGGTTCTAAAGAACAGAGTAAGCTCAAGGTAGGAGGAGTCTTCTCTGGTGGCTGAAACAGTAAAGAATTTGCCTGCTCTGCAGGAGATGAGGGTTCGATCCCTGGCTGGGGAAGATCCCTTGGAGAAGGGAATGGCAACCCACTGCAGTATTCTTGCCTGGAGAATTCCATGGACAGAGGAGCCTGGCAGGTTACAGTCCGTGGGGTCACAAAGAGTAGGACACAACTGAGCGATTAACACTTTCACTTTCTTTTCAATTTCAGTGGTATTTACTCCATTCCCAAGCTACTCACCACCTCTTTCATTGGCTTTGTTCTCCTGAAGAATTCCATGGACAGAGGAGCCTGGCAGGTTACAGTCCGTGGGGTCACAAAGAGTAGGACACAACTGAGCGATTAACACTTTCACTTTCTTTTCGATTTCGGTGGTATTTACTCCATCCCCACACTACTCACCACCTCTTTCATTGGCTTTGTTCTCCTAACAAGCTCTTCCAGACCCATGCCTCCAACCCTCCCACCACCCTGCACACACCCGAAGGCTCACCCAGAGCATTGAAAGGGATGCTCTGCTGTTTTGTGGAAAGCTGGACAGCGACCTTGCAGCTCCTGTTGGTGTTCTGGAGCTCCATCTTGGCTGCCAGATTCAGCGTGCACTCACAGTGTTTCATCTGTGCCCAGATTTTCCCGAGAAGTTCATATGGTCTCTTTTCCTGGTCCTGGAATTGCTCAAGGTCCCCGAAGAAGACGACAAGGGTACCATGGGAGTTGCCTCTCAAGACTGTTCTCCGGCCACAGGAGCCCCCCCACCAGCAACAGAGAAGCAGATGTGAAAGTCTGAACCCTCTGAGGTCACTGGGCACCCCGCAGGCAGGCGTATTTCTCAACTCGAGCAGAAGTNACCCTCTGAGGTCACTGGGCACCCCGCAGGCGGGCGTATTTCTCAACTCGAGCAGAAGTCCCACACGTCACCGTCGTCTAAGAGCTGAGTGGCGGTGGTCATCTGTCCACCCAGGGAGCTGAATCAGGGCACCCACAGCAGCCCTTTCCCTACGAGCCCCGGACAGGAGGCCACTTGGATGACCTTCAGCAGTAGAGTGGACAGGAGTGGTGTGCCCACACAAGGGAATACATGGCAACAACGCAATGAGAAAACAGCTGCACACAACATACGTTTCATCAACCGGTGGGTCAGAAGCAAAGCCCGCACATTAATGCCACACCGTGCATGATGTCTTAGACAGGGAGACCAACCTGCTCAGTTTTAGCCCTGAGATGTCCATGTCCCAGAAAACCCTTCAGCCGCAGACAAACCTGAAAGGTTGGTCACTCTATACAAAGTTTAAAAACAGGCAAAACTAATCTATGCTGTTTGAAGTCAGGAGCATGGTTGGCTGGGGTTGAGGGTAATGACTAGACAAGGGGCCCAGGGACTCTTGGGTGGGGGCTGGGAAAATTTTATTTCTTGATCTGGGTATAGGTCACACATGTTATGTTGTCTGTGGCAATCCATCAAGCTGTACACATATGTGCACTTGTACATATTATTTTAATGAGAAAAAAGTTAACAATATTGAGAGGTAGGATTGCACAGTGGTTAAGGGTGCATGCTCCCAAACACATTGTCGCCACTGTTTAGTTGCTCAGTTGTGTCCAATTCCGCGAACCCATGCACTGTAGCCCACCAGGCTCCTCTGTCCATGGGATTTCCCAGGCAAGCGTACTGGAGTGGGTTGCCATTCCCTTCTCCAGGGGACCTTCCTGACCCAGGGATCAAACCCATGTCTCCTGCCCTGCAGTGGGGACTCTACCATGGAGCCACCAGGGAAGCCCTCCCAAATAGATTCCCAGAGCTTAAAATCCCAGGTCGAATGCCAACTAATAATAACTTCCCCAAGCTTCATTTTCCTTATCTGGGCCAAAACAGGAGACACCACGCGCCTATGTGTCTTTACTCCTAGGGCTAGTGGGTGTGTGAAAGGGCAGAGGCCAGAAAGTACATGACCGTGACCGCAGAGAAGTGCGATTCCGGTGCTGGAGAGCGTGAGGGTGGGGCTGAGCAAACGTAATCCCCTCCCCACCCTAGGGTCCTGGCACCTTCCCAGCATCATTTCTTCCTCAAAATTCCAGAATCTTCAGCCTCCACCCTAGGGTTTGTGCCAGAGCACCAAACATGTCTTAACTGATGAGGCCTCCCACCTCCTTGGAGTTGAGAAATCACAGAACATCCTCGAATAGTTTTACTGAACTCTTGCAGGCTCAGTTTACTTGTCTGTAAGATGGGGAGGATAAAAATGATACAAGTAACCACAGCTAATTTACTGCTGTAGCTTTGTACCAAGCTCTTGCCAGAGCGTCATGCGTTTAAGCCTCTTAACACTTGGCACTGAGTATTATTCCCCTCCCATTTTACACGATCAGACACTGAGGCACAGAGAGGTTAAGCAACCTACCTCGGGTCACACAGCAGCAAGGGGCAGAATCAGCGCTCTCCCAACGTGTACCCCTAAACTCTACACCCTGTTCCATCCTGTCACTCGCGTGTGGGCTTAGACAAGGTGATGTCTGCGCGCCCAGGGCCCAGAACACAGCGGCTGCTGAGCGCCAAGTCCTCCTTCCTCCCGGGTCCCAGAAGCACCGAGCCCAGCCATCCACTCACCTTGGCCACCCCTGTCGCGGTGAGGGACTGGCAGGGTTTCTGCAGGACTGCACAGATGGTGTCCACTGACTGGTCGATGTCTTTCTGACAGTCTTCAGAGGGCCTCAGGTAGTTCTGGATAAACTCCTCCAGTGTCTCAGAAGGCTGTTCATAGAGGTGGGCCTCCCAGCTGCCCATGGCTCTGACTGGCTGCTGAGATGACAGCTGGAGGCAGAGCGGGAGGTTGAGGAGAATAAGGAACTTCTGTGTGCAGGGGAGGAGAGGGGAGAAACCCGAAACTTACACCAGGGGAAGAGGAAACTCACAGAGTTTTCCGGCCCAATCCAGGCTTCAATCCAGGCCTCGCCCCCAGCCTTTCCGCTGCTCTCAAGGGAGGCTTGTAGTTAAAAACATGGCCCCTTGAGCCGGATTATGAGGGCTTGATATGTATTATGTCTGTGTCTTTGAGCACACTGCCAGCCCTTTTTGTGCCTTGATTTCCCCATCTGTAAAATGGGGGTAACAATGGTACCTATCTCACAGGCTTAATACAAAGATTCAAATACTTGCAAAGTGCTTAGAACAGGACCTGGTACATGACTAGTGCTGTAAAGTGTTTATAAAGCAAATAATTTCATAGGGGGCCAGAGGTCGTCTTTTTTTATATATATAATTGAAGTATAACTGGTTTAAAATATTGTGTTAGTTTTCAGGAGTATAGCAAACTGATTCAGTTATATTTACATCTAAACATATAATATATACAATGTAAAACTTACTTTCCCAGAGGTCATCTTTTGAGGCTCTTTCCCCCTCTCCCTGTTCCCAATGGCTTGGGAAGTCAGAGTTGATGAGAACAGTGAGGAGAAGAGACCAGAGAGGGCCCTGACTTGCTTAGGGACACACAGCAAGGCAACGGCTCAGCCACTCGGGTTCCAGTTCTGCCCCTGAACAAACACAGGTCCCCAGAGGCCTGCTCCTGCGGGCCCAGGCGCTCGGCACACACGTGACCACCTGGCAGGTTTCGTCGGGCATTGAGCCACACCCAGCAAGGAAAGAAAACATGCCCAGTAGCACACAGGCCAGAGAGGAGACAGACGTGCACCTCTTGTGTCCAGAACCACGAAAACGAAACTCCTGGGCAGCTCCCACTGGCTTCCTCTGTAACACAGAAGGCAAACATCTCCAAGGGGGAGAGGAACAGACCCCTTTCTCTGCTGTGATGATTAATTTTATTATTATTATCTTTTAAATGGTATTTATTTATTTGTAGTTTTCGGCTGCGCTGGGTCTTCATTGCTGTCAGCGGGCACTTTCTAGTTGCAGCGAGTGGAGGCTACTCTCCAGTTGGGGACATGGGCTTCTTATTACCTTGAATTCTCTTGTTGTGGAGTTCGGGCTCCAGGGTATGCAGGCTCGGTAGTTGCGGCACATAGGGCTTAGTTGTTCCGTGGCCTGTGGGATCTTCACAGACCAGGGATTGAACTTCTGTCCTCTGCATTGGCAGGCAGATTCTTAACCACTGGACCACCAGGAAAGTCCTGTGATGATTAGATTTGTATGTCAACTTGACTTTGATCATGGTATTCAGATATTTGGTCAAACATTCTTCTAGAATTTTTTTTTTTGGAGTATGTTTTTAAGATGAGCTCAACATTTGTAAACTTTGGGGAAAGCAAATTGTTCACTATAATGTGGGTGGGCCTCGTCCAATCAGGTGAAGGGATGAAAAGGAAAAGGTCTGCTCTCTCCCTGAGGAGGAGGCAATTCCACAAGCACAGTTTGGTTTCTCTGGAGAAACTTGATGATCGCTCCTGTCCATAAAGGGCCCTTCCTTGCCCTTATCCGACTTCTAAAACACCTAGAGGTAGGCTGGGCTTAGGTCATAAGGCTTCTTTTCTAAATGAAAATATAGAGGCTCAGAGAGCTGAAAAATATTTGTCCGAGGTCATACAGCTTGTAAGTTATCTAGCTAGCTTCTAACTACCTGCTTTCTAAAGTCTGTGCATTTTTATTTAAAAAAATATTTTATTTTGAAATCTTCTGAAACACAAAGAACTCTCTTATATTCTTGATCTTGAATATTTCACCATATTTGCTCCTCATTCTCTGTGTACATTGTATTATCAGTATTATTATTACTGAGTCATGTGAGTTGTATGTTGCAGGTATTATGTCTCTTTACTCTTAAAAAATATATATACACACATATATATATATAAACTTAGTTTTTCAGAGTGGTTTTAGGATCCCAGAAAAACTGGGCAGAAGCCAAGAGATTTCTTATATACCCCACTGCCACCACCCCACCACAACCACCATCACGCCAGCCTCCTCCCACCCCCAACAACATTCTGCAGTGGTATTTGAGCTGAGCCCCAAAGAATTGATGCTTTTGAACTGTGGTGCTAGAGAAGACTCTTGAGAGTCCCTTGGATTCCCAAGGAGATCAAACCAGTCCATCCTAAAGGAAAACTGTCTTGAATATTCTTTGAAAGGACTGATGCTAAAGCTGAAGTTCCAATACTCTGGCCACTTGATGCAAGGAACTGACTCATTGGAAAAGACCCTAATGTTGGGAAAGATTGTGAAGGCAGGAGGAGAAGGGGATGACAGAGGATGAGATGGTTGGATGGCATCACCTACTCGATGGACAAGAATTTGAGCAAGCTCCAGGAGTTGATGAAGGACAGGGAAGCCTGGCTTGCTGCAGTTCATGGGGCCGCCAAGAGTCGGACACGACTGAGCGGCGGGACTGAACTGATTTGAGAGGTGAGAGCGCCCCCTTCTGGTCTCCTGACTTCACTTAAAACGGGGTTTCCCGTTTCCAAGTTCAGTTTCAGTTTCACATCAGTATCCCCTAGCAGGGTGGGACACTTGTTAACAACCGAGTAACCCACACGGACACATCATAACCCCCCAGACTCCTTTAAGTTCAATTCAGTTCAGTTGCTCAGTCGTGCCCGACTCTTTGCGACCCCATGAATCGCTGCACGCCAGGCCTCCGTGTCCATCACCAACTCCCCGAGTCTACCCAAACCCGTGCCCATCGAGTCGGTGCTGCCATCCAGCCATCTCATCCTCTGTCGTCCCCTTCTCCTCCTGCCCCCAATCCCTCCCAGCATCAGGGTCCTTTCCAATGAGTCAGCTCTTCGCATGAGGTGGCCGAAGTACTGGAGTTTCAGCTTCAGCATCAGTCCTTCCAATGAACACCCAGGACTGATCTCCTTTAGGATGGACTGGTTGGATCTCCTTGCAGTCCAAGGGACTCTCAAGAGTCTTCTCCAACACCACAGTTCAAAAGCATCAATTTTTCGGCGCTCAGCTTTCTTTATAGTCCAACTCTCACATCCATGCATGACCACTGGAAAAACCATAGCCTTGACCAGGCAGACTCCTTTACTCTAAAAAAAAAAAAAAAACACTTTTATCTGTTTATTTGTTTGGTCGTGCTGGGCCTTTGCTGCTGTGCAGGCTTTCGTCTGGCTGCGGCGAGCCGGGGCTGCTCTCCCGTCGTGGTGCTGCGGTGTGCGGGCTTCTGGCTGTGACACCCCCTTGTTGCAAAGCACAGGCTCTGGATGCGCGCAGACTTCAGCAGCTGTGGCCCGTCGGCGCTAGGCAGCAGTCTCAATAGTTGTGGTGCACCGGGGCCTGGCTGACCCGAGGCATGTGAGATCTTCTGGGACCAGGGATCGAACCCGTGTCCCCTGCCTTGGAAGACGGATTCTGAACCACTGGACCACCAGGGAGGTCCCTCGCTAGCATATCCTTTATGGCCTCAGTAGAGCTGTATTCTCTGCTTTTCCACGGGAGATAATTTGGTGGGGTTTTTTGTTTTTTTTTTCTTTCTGGATTTATACAGCACATCGGCCCCCAGCACATCCACTTCCCTGACCTTTTCATCCCATCTCCCACCATCTCTCATGGGAATATCACCAGGCAAAGGCTCGCATTTGATCCGTTCTAAGAGCCTGGCTAAGAGCGAGTCTGCGCCTTCTCCTGGGGTCCTTGCCAGGGTGTGAAGTTCTGCAGTCCAGGAGGGACTTCCAAATCAATAAGCTGTTGGTCATCTGATCTGACCCTGCCGCCCCTTGATAAAGTGCCCTTGGGGTCACTCCCCCACACACCCACCTGCCTTGTGCTGGTACATGCTGCCGGGTCTTCCGGCTGTTACGGATCCAAGTCCATTCCTCCCTCAACAGGCCCAGCATGCCCCCAGCTGGGCTGTGTTGGGACTTGACCATACTTAGAGTCCTAGTGGGCAGGAGGGGAGATGGATACTGCTCCTCGGAGTTGGGGGGTGTCTTACGGGCGAGAAGCCCTTGCCCGGGGGCAGATGCTAGCTTTTAATAGCAGGGGTGGATAGGATAGTTCTGAACCAGAAACCTTGCTTTACTGTTTCTTGTGGTCATACAAGCAGTATAAATTACAGCCCAAAATTAATAATAATCTGAAAACTCAGGAAAGTATAAGGATGAGCACCTCTCGGTTAGGTTCAGCTACATCTCAAGTACTCAATAGCCATCCGTGACTAGTGTCTACTGAATTACACAGGGCAGTTCTAAAATTTTTCCCAGGTAAATAATCAGAGATGTGGACAAAGGATGAACTAAAGATGCTTGTCTCAGGATTATCTGTAGCTGAGAATTGAAAGGACCCTCATCTCTCGAATAGTAGAGTATTCCACAAAATGTCAGCTCCACGAGGCAGGGAGTTTTGTCTGCTTTACTCATTGTTAACCTCCAATACTTTGGCCACTTGATGAGAAGAGCCGACTCATTGGACGAGACCCCAATGCTGGGAAATATTAAAGGCAAGAGGAGAAGAGGGTAGCAGAGGATGAGATGGTTGGATGGCATCACCAGTTTAATGGACAAGAATTTGAGCAAACTCCGAGAGATAGTGAAGGACAAGGAAGCCTGGCGTGTTACAGTCCATGGGGTTGCAAAGAGTCAAATACAACTCAGTGACTGAACAACAGTGATCCAGTGGCCAGAACAATGCTTGGCACAGAGCAGGTGCCCAATTAATATTTTTAATTGAATCAGTGAATATGCTCACACACACATAATATGTAGATATACTTCTTGGCACTGTACCTTGAGGTTAATTAACACCCAACAAATGGCATTTGCTACCATTTTTGTTACTATTGACAATAAATTAGACCATCACCTTTCCCCCCAGGTTCACAGAAGAAAGTCAAGGCTGGGATTCCACTCTTTTGCCTGAGTCTCTCCTGGTGTCTCGGAGAGGCTATTGTCAGGCTCCAGTGGGGAGCGGGCTGTCTATGAAAGAAGAGAAAGCACAGAATAGTGGGAAGGCTGGGGGTCAGGAGACTTGGGTTCTGGTCCCAGGTCTGACATCAGTTCACGGCTGTCTTTGGATTCAGGCCCCCTAGCCCTAGACATGAATAGGGCTGGCCCAGATGGCTCTGGAGACCTTGCCTCCAAGATACTCTGGCGTTCAGAGGATGGTACATGTCCAGTTCTCTTCCACCTGGGGAGGGGCTCCTTCGTGGAGCTGGGTTCTTGAAGAGGATCTATAAGGCTGTCTAAAATCATAGGCCTGGAACATCAGGTTGCTGTGTTCTTGGGGCTGAAAAGAAGCAGGTGGTCACATTGGAGAGCTGGGCCTCCCCGCTTGGCACGGGTCTCAGTAAGCATTCCCGGTGGACGCTGTGACCTGCCGCCTGGATGGCCTTCGAGGAAGGTCACGCCCCCTCCTGGGTTGTCCACATTCAGCAGCTGACCGGTGTTGGGGCTATAAAGGCCTGGCCACCTCAGTCTTCTGTAGGACAACTCTGGAGGCTGTTGGGGCCCACAGGACTCCCTGGGGGGATGGTCTGAGATGGCCAGCATCCCGGCCGCCCCTCTCCTCATGTTGGTACCTGCCTCGCTCCCCTCCTTTACACAGGTGTCGGTTCCAATGGTCCTCCCCAGAAACCTCCTGCATGTGAACTTCATCCCAGAGCCTGTTTTCTGGGAAACCCATCTCTGGCATCATCAGCCCTCCCCACTCCAGCTTAAAAGATCCCTACTCTTGGAGTGGAAAGATGAGGCCCTCAGCCCTGACTTAGCTGTGTGATACGCTCACATCCTCACTTACTCTGAGTCACTCGTTTGTCGTGTGATATGGAGGGGGGAGGGGATACAAGGCAGGCTGTTTAGCTCAGCAGAGTAAGCCCTGGCATTGGAGTCTGCTGAGTGGGATTCCCGGTTCTGGGGCTCCCTAGCTGAGTGGCCTTGAGCAGGTGACTTCACCTCTCTGAGCCTCCTTTTCTCATCTGTAAGATGGGAATAAAAATCAGGGCTCATGGGGTGTCGTGAGGATTTAATGAAACAATGAAATTTAAGGGGCTAAGAATGGAGCCTGACCCCAAAGCAGGTATTCATTAAGTGGTGGTTGTTACTCTTTTTCTTCTTAGTGGAGTGAGCCAACTGGAGCTGTTAAAAAAAGTTACTTCTGGCCAAGGAGGCATTAATTAAAGAATAAGCTCTGGATAGGGATGTGAGAAGTCTAGGAACCCTCTGGGGTGAAGATGACTATAAATCAGGGAGCATAGCCTGGCATGATGTGAATGGGAGTGACCTCTGTGAAAGTGAAAGTCGCTCAGTCGTGTCTGACTCTTTGCAACCCCATGGACTGTAGCCCGCCAGGCTCCTCTGTCCATGGGGATTCTCCAGGCAAGAATGCTGGAGTGGGTTGCCATTTCCTTCTCCAGGGGATCTTCCTGACTCAGGGACTGAACCCAGGTCTCCTGCATAGGCAGGCGGATTCTTTACTGCCTGAGCCACCACGGAAGCCCTGGTGACCTCTAGTAAGAGGCGATTTCTTTGGAAGGAATGGTCTCTAGCTACACACCCCATGCTGTGTGGAAGGGATGGGGGCAGGGCAGCAATAAAGAAGCAGAAGTTCTCACCGACACATTCCAGGAGCCCACTGGAGACCCGTCCCATTTCTTAAAGCATGGGTAATCCAGCCAGACCAAAGCTGCTTGTGCCAGCCGCTTCCAGCTATATAGGTCTCCACCAGCAACATTTCCTGTAGGGTCCGCCGGGTCCAGAATCACAGGCCTGAAGAGTAATATTTAGAGAGAGAGAAATGAGAAGCTGGGCTCGCTCTGGCAGGTGGTCTAGATGCTCCAGGAAGGGCAAAGCAACCAGCCTGGCACAGGCTGAGACTCAGGCAGCATCGGGGCTCCAGCAAAGCACCACTCCCTAGGGTGTGTCCTGGTGCCCTGCTCCAGGGAGGACAGTGAATGGAAGGAGGAGCCTTTGGGGCTTTGATAAATGCATCTCACCTCTGCCTTCTGTAGGGGTGTGACCTTGGGTAGATGTCTTGGTCTCTCTAAATCTCAGTATGCTCATCTGTGAAATGGGCAGATTTGAACATCCCTACTTCAAAGGATGTTCTATGAGGATCTAGATAAGCAACATGGAATACACAGCACAGGAATTGGGCCATCGTAAGGGGTTAGTGCATGACAGTTACAATAATCATAATTTTTACTATACTATTAGAGTGTGTTAGTCTTATAGCAAGCTCTTACTTCCTGGGAGGAATTATTATTGTTCCTGCAGCTGTTGTTATTTTAGTTGAAATTTCAGCTGTTTCACTCATTTTCTGTTAGGGTTTGAACTAGCTCTTTACTGCTCAGAATCTTGGTTTACTCATTAGTGAAGCAATTAACATAGTGCCTGCCTCACATGGTCATTTGCACCTTGTTTTTAAAATTAGATGGTGGTAGTAAAGTGCCCAGTGGCATGACAAGTATCAGAAGATGATCAATAATTCCTTCGTTTCCGGGTGCTGCAGCTGTAAGCAGGGGTCCATTTACGTGGGGAGCTGAGCCATGAGGGGATGGAGTACCTGGGTTTTGCAAGTTGACTTCTCAGGTATTCTTCAATAATAGGGTTTTCAGAGTTATAATTCCTTTTCCAGTAGATGCAAAGCTTCTGATACTTCAGGACTAATTCCAAGACAGTCTGAAATCCCTGAGCTGTGATGAATCCTGTTTCCTTGCACCCTTGCTCCCAGGCATAGACCGTCAGAAGCTCCAGGGCATATTGTGGGGGCAATGGCTTTCCAAGCTGCTCCTTACACTGAGTAGATGGAAAACAATCAGAAAAATGGGCTTGTCTAGCATTTGTGTAAAGCACATTTCTCCTGCATCAAATTCAGCCTGCCACTTGTTTTAGGGTATAAAGTTTTCTGAGAGCAAATCCACACCTATCCATTTAGGTATAGTCTATGGTGGCATTCACAGAGCTATAAACTCACTTGTTCAAAGCCAGATGGCTAGGAAGTGAACAGAAGTGTGTGTGTGTGTGTGTGTGTGTGTATGTGGTGTTGGTGGAGGATATAGCACTCATTAATTCACCTAACAATCATTTTTTGAACTCTCATGTGCCAGGCACTGTTCTAGGCTCCTGTGATACAGCAGGGAATCAAACATATAAATCCTTCTGTTCTTGTACATTTATAGAGGGTAAAGTGAAAGTGAAGTTCTGTCTGACTCTTTGCAACCCCATGGACTGTAGCTCACCAGGCTCCTCTGTCCATGGAATTTTCCAGGCAAGCATATTGGAGTGGGTTGCCATTTCCTTCTCCAAGGGATCTTCCTGACCCAGGGATCGAACCTGGGCCTTCCACGTTGCAGGCAGGCGCTTTACCATCTGAGCCACCAGGGAATAGTGGGGAGACAGACAATAAATACGACTACTGGAAAAACCATGGCTTTGATTAGCTCTGAACAGATGTGAGACTTGCACCATAAAGAGAGCCGAGCACTAAAGAACTGATGCTTTTGAACTGTGGTGCTGGGCAAGACTCTTTGAGGGTCCCTTGGACTGTAAGGAGATCAAACCAGTCAATCCTAAAGGAAATCAACCCTGAATATTCACTGGAGGTTCTGATGCTGAAGCTGAAGCTCCAATACTTTGGCCACCTGATGCGAAGAGCCAAGTCATTGGAAAAGACCCTAATTTTGGGAAAGATTGAGGGCAAGAGGAGAAGGGGGCGGCAGAGGGTGAGATGGTTAGAAAGCATCACCGACTCAATGGACAGGAATCTGAGCAAGCTCTGGGAGAGAGTAGAGGACAGGGGAGCCTGGCACGCTGCAGTCCCCGGGGTCACAAAAAGTCAGACATGACTTAGTAACTGAACAAACCTGAGACAATAAACAAACAAATAGGCACATGCAAAGGCCCGGAGGTTGGAGTGTAGACTTTTTCTCCAGGAGGACTAATGAAGAGAAGAGCATGGCCTGAGGGTGGTGGTGAGGGGGCAGAGATGGGGGTTCAGAGAGGTCAAGGGCAGATCCTTTGAGCCTCCCAAGATGATCTGGACCAGGGGGTAACAGAGGTGATGACCATGGATGACTCATAAATATATTTTAATATGGACCAACAACATTTGCTGACTAGTTGGATGTGGGTGTCTGTGAAGAAGCCAAGGATGACCCATGGTTTGGCCACAGTAACTAGAAGGATGGATTTGTGATTTCCCTTCCTTCCCCTCTGCTCTCCCCTCCCCTCTGTTACCTCCCCCTCTTCCCACTGCCTCATCCTGGCTCCTCCCCACGCCTCTCCCTGCTCCTTGCCTCCCTCCACGCCACCCCTCCCTCCTCTCCCCCCTCACTCTCTCCCTTCCCCTCCTCGGCTCTGCCCACATGGGGCCGGCCATACCTGTTGGTACCAGTGCTTCACCAGGCGGATGAGGCTCTTCAGCTTGGTGGGACGCTCCTTCAGGAAGTCTCGCTGCAGCTCCGTGAAGCAGGGGGAGAACTCACCTTCTTTCCCCAGTTTCTTGCACTCTTGGATGAGCTGAACGTAGATTTTAGGATCAGGTCTGTAACCTTTGGTCAACTGACCTGTTGGGAATGAATTCAAATTTAAATGTCAGCTCTTTTCTGAGTTTCTTTCTGTCGCCCCGGGGACACAGACTCACTGGCCTTGGGGGGCAGTGAGGAGGTCAGCAGGCCCAGAGCCAGGAGGCCTGAGGTCCATCCCCGGGCCTCCCTTCTCCCGTCTCCACCGCCGTCACCCATCGTCTCTCACCTGGACTCAGCAGAGGTGGTGGCACCCTCCTCCCTGGATCCTCCACAGCCCATACAGAGGCCTTGAAACCTGATCCTTCCACTTCTTGCTTCCCAGGACCTCTGGGTACCCAAGTCCTCACAGTGGCCCACCTGGATGGTGAGACCCGTCTCCTCCTTCGTCTTACCTCTTGCCTCAATCCCTTTGCCACTGACTCCCCTGGTTGCTTCACTTCTTCAAACATGCCACGTTCATTCCTGTCTTTGCACCTGCTGTTTCTTCTTCCTGGGAGGTCTTCCCACGCCTGGTTCTGTCTCATTCTTTGGGCCTCAGGCCAGAGGTCACCTCTCTTGTCGCCCTATCTACTAAAGTCCTCTGATCCCCTTTGCTCTCCATCGAGTCACCATATTTAGTTGTGGTCACAGCAAGTTATCACTTCCTTCCTGGTGTTCTTATGGTCAGGCTCCAGGAGAGAGGTTCTCTGTCTGTCTCGTTTAGGGCCATGGAACACCTTGGCCTTGCACCTCCACGTCTGTGTTCCTGCTCAGTCGCTCAGTCCTGTCTGCCTCTTTGCGACCCCGTGGACTCTAGTCTGCCAGGCTCCTATGCCCATGGAATTTCCCAGGCAAGACTACTGGAGTGAGTTGCCATTTCCTTCTCCAGGGGATCTTTCCGACCCAGGGATCGAACCTGCATCTCCTGCTTGGCAGGTGCATTCTTAACCACTGAGCCACCAGGGAAGCCCCGCATCTAAGGTAAACACTGGAGTTGAGCCTCAAAGAATGTATTGCCTCCTGTCCCAGTGTTCCTGCACGCTATCTCTAGATTCCAACCCCAGTATAAGTTTGATATGGTTGCCTCACATTTTGCATAAAAAATGAAATTAACATATTGAATTTACCCGAGACCTCATTTTTAGAAAGAGAACATCACACAGTTTGCAAAAAGTCAAACTAATAAGACTGGTAGATGTTCTATACAAATATCTTGACCCCCAACTGTACCAGTTTGTTGTTTAATGTCATTTCAGTGGCTGAATGAGACCCTAGGCATTCTTGTCCCAGGAGAGATGCTTGGGTTTCCTCCCACTTGAAGGGATACCTTGGTTAATAAGACATTTTATTTCTGCTCAGAGAAAAAAAAGAGAACAGAAGAAGCCCTGACATAGGACAAAGTCTGTAAGAACTTGTGGCTGGGAGCACTCACCCAGGGCATCAAAGGCAGGCAGGACATCGAACTCCACCGCCTGGTTGAGCTTGGGGGACCTCAGCACAAAGCTGAGAACGCGGGGATTCTCCCATCGTTTCTGCACCTCAAACTTCACTTCAAATGTTTTCTCTCTTTGACAAGCTTCCAGCTGTCTCCTAATTTCTTCGATGAATTCTCCTCGGCGCTCAAACTGTTCCTGAAAACTTGTGAGATTGGTGAGGAAGACGACGAGGTCAGCATCTGATCGTCCTCTGAGGGTCGTGCCTTTGCCTGAGGAGCCACCCTAAAACAGGTAATAAGAATGAAACTGACATTTTTCATTGAGAAGAGCCTCCCTTAATAAAATGCTGAGAACAATCACTAACATTTTGAGTGCTAGCCACTGCTCTGAAGGCATCAGCAGCTGTAACTCCTAGAATGCTCACAAGAACTCTGGGATCTAGCTACTGTTATTATCTGTTGTTATCTTCCGGTTGGGGAAACAGATGCTGAGAGATCATGTATCAGTCCAGTGACACAGCTAGTGGGTGGCAGAGATACAGTTCACATCCTGGTTGTCTTTTTCCAGGGTCCATATTCTTCACTCCCTGTAATTTACAACCTTATGTGATTAATAGCGTAAACTAGCCCATGGCTGACTTTACTTGATCTGCAAGCCCTATAAGGTACCAAAATTTATAGGTAAGGAAACTGAGGCACAGAGAGGTTAAGTGACTTGCCCAAGATTTCACAGCCAGCAGGTGCTATCTGCTTTCAAAACGTATACTCTTAACCAACTCGAGACTCTGCAGAAATAGTGAGATCCCACCCAGGTGCTATCTGCTTTCAAAACGCATACTCTTAACCAACTCGAGACTCTGCAGAAATAGTGAGATCCCACCCTGGTAAAGATTAGTGAGCTGTAGATGCTGCCAGGATTCAGCTTGCCTATCTCCAAAGCAGTCGTGACCTAGGTGGTTTATACACTTCCCCAGGGAATTTGTTAAAAACTTACAGATGGATGCCCTCTCCCCAGAAGCTATTTTCACAGATGTGGTTATAGTTCCGGCATGGATAAATCAGAACCAGCCCCAGAGACCTCAGCCTCTTTCTCTCTGACTGTCCCTGTGCAAACACTTGCAAACCAGCCCCCCTTCTCCCCAGCCAGGCAGTTCTGGACTCACCTTCACAACTTTGGACACTCGGACTCGGTGAGGGGCACATCGGAAACACCTCTCCTTCAGGAAAGTGCAGATGATGTCAATGGCTTCTTTGACCTGAGTGCCAAACTCCTCGTTTGGCAGGAGGTGGTCTTCAATGAACTTGTCTAGAGACTTGGCCGGGGTATCGCTGAGCCCCATCGTGACGCTGGGGACTGGAGAGCCAGAGGCAGCAAAATTAACTGCGTCCTGAACCTGTGAGCTTCAGTTTCCTCTGCTGCCTGCGTCTCAGTTCAGTTCAGTACCTGCGTCTAGGGAGCTGTTAAGTTTCATTTCACAGGCAGGGAGGAGCTATGCTGCTGCTGGTTTCGGTTCCTTGAATGGGAGGAGTTTTGTCTTGAATATTTGTTTCTAGTTTGCCTCTCTGCAAATGAAACGCTTCTGCGAGCAAATGAAACGCTCCTGCGACCCCACAAACCTGTCAGATCTCTCAGCTCTTTCCTCCAAAATCCCAAAATTACTCCCTGCCTTTAGCAGGCAGACTAGAATATCTGGTCTGTTTCAGACTATACTCTGAAAAGCTGCTTTTAAACCTACCTTAGTACTTCGCCCAAGAGGAATCACAATTACAGGTAGATTTCTGGTTTCCTTTTCTTCTTTTCACTGTGGACGAAATTGTTTTATAGTCTCTTGTGATCCTGGCAGCAGGACATGTATATTGCAAACAGAAACAGTCAGAAAAATCCAGAAGCATTGTTTAGTCCACCCCTAATCCTAAACCTCAAAGATGATAACTATAACTACTTTGGGGTAGTCTTGTGAGATATTTTTCTAGGTTTATGCACACATACACACAAATATAATTTCTCTCTGTCTTTTTTTTTAATGGCATGAATCTATACGTTGTACTTTTTCATGAACTTTAGTTCTTTAGGTCGACAGAAAAATTGTGAGCTATCCCTAGCTGTGCAGCTTTGAACACAAGTGTAACTGGCACGCCTCTCTGTCCTGATTTGTAAAGAGGTCTTTTGACCTGAAAAGTATTCACAGCATAAAAGTTGAGTTATGCTTTATTCGATGGGAATTTTTAGCACTTTAAGCCAGGGAAACAGCCTCTCAAGTGACCCTGAGAAGACTGCTCCAAAGAGGTGAGGCGAGGAGCCAGGTTGTATAGAAGTTTCACAACATAGGTCAGGTAGTCTGGACATCAAAACGTCTTGGATAAATTAAAGAAAGCCAGATATCCCATTGAGGCAAAAGGGGAAAAAACAACAACATAAAATACAGGAATGAGCTTTTTTCTTTCCCTTTCCGGAGAACAAAGAAGATAAAGAGAAGAGTGGGCAGGCCTGAACATTCTTAGTCTTTCTACTTTGTCAGTTCAGTTCAGTCACTCAGTTGTGTCTGACTCTTCGGGACCCTGTGGACTGCATGCAGCACACCAGGCCTCCCTGTCCATCGCCGACTCCCAGAGCTTTTTCAAACTCACGTCCATCGAGTCGGTGATGCCGTCCAACCATCTCATCCTCTGGCATCCCCTTCTCCTCCTGCCTTCAATCTTTCCCAGCATCAGGGTCTTTTTTTTTAACTGAAACTGCTCCTAACTCTACACGTCTGTAAATTTGCTTTTCTGCCTCCTAATTCTGCAGGAGCCACAGCTTACCCCTATTTCCCTCTGTGTGCGTGTGCTCGAGTGCTGAGTCAATGCCAACTCTTTGAGGCCTGATGGGCTAAATGTTTCAGGTGTTTACGCCTGCAACACTCTTCCCCTTAAAGTTTTTCTTTTTATATATCAGAAAGACGGCCGCAGAGCCGCCAAACTGCCAGACTCAATTACTGGATTACTGATGCCAGCCTATGACTGTGTCTGAAACAGCGCAAGAGGAACAAGTCAGGATCCTGACACCTTTGTTCCTCATCATTGATTCCTGACTGGAAGCCCTCATCTTATAAAGGTCCCTGGACCTCTCATGGTGGGGGGCACAGTTCTTAAGGCATGAGTTTACGGAGCTCCCCTCTCTGCCGGCTGAGAATTAAAGCCACCTTTCTGTTTCCTCCAAACTCCATCTCTGTATTTTTTATTTGGCTTTGCGGGGCTGAGAACGCCAAGATTTAGGCCAGCAACAATCCCAAGTTAAGAAATAGAGTGCTCTTCTATGTATGGGAAGATGTCAGAATCAGGGCTCACTGAAATCATTCCTTTGACATGCACCTCAGCTGTCTGGGGCTAGTGTTGGGAAGATCCCTGGAGAAGGGAATGGCTCTGCGCTCCGGTGTTCTGGCCTGGAGAATCCCAACCCCATGGCTGCAGTCTGTGCTGTGTTTAGCCGCTCAGTCATGTCAGATTCTGTGCAACCCCATGGACTACAGCCCACCAGGCGCCTCTGTCCATGGGGATTCCCCAGGCAAGAATACTGAGGTGGGTTGCCAAGCCCTCCTCCAGGGGATCTCCCAACTCAGGGATCGAAGCCAGGTCTCCAGCCTTTCAGGTGGATTCTTTAACGACTGAGCCACCAGGGAAGCCCAGGTTATAGTCGTGGGATCACAAAGAGTCGGACCCAACTGAGTGACTAAGCACACACGTCCTGCTCTCACATTTAGAGCTTCCTTTCCTCAGGGCACACCTTTCCGTCCTGAGTTTCCTCAGGGCTCAGCAGATCACATTGAAGGGTTGTAATTGCTGATGACTGGAACAACCTTGTTTACTGATATCAGTTCAGTTGAGTTCAGTTGCTCAGTTGTGTCTGACTCTGCAACCCGATGAACTGCAACACACCAGGCTCCCCTGCCCATCACCAAGTCCCAGAGCTTACTCAAACTCAAGTCCATCGAGTTGGTGATGCCATCCAACCATCTCATCCTCTGTTGTCCCCTTCTCCTCCTGCCCTCAATCTTTCCCAGCATCAGGGTCTTTTCCAATGAGTCAGTTCTTTGCATCAGGTGGCCAAAGTATTGGAGTTTCAGCTTCAGCATCAGTCCTTCCAACCAATATTCAGGACTGATTTCCTTTAGGACGGACTGGTTGGATCTCCTTGCAGTCCAAGGGACTCTCAAGAGTCTTCTCCCACACCACAGTTCAAAATTGCCAACTCTTCCATGCTCAGCCTTCTTTATAATCCAACTCTCACATCCATACATGACTACTGGAAAAGCCATAGATTTGACTGGACGGACCTTTGTTGGCAAAGTAATGTCTCTGCTTTTTAATATGCTGTCTAGGTTAGTTATAACTTTTCTTCCAAGGAGCAAGCATCTTTTAATTTCATGTCTGCAGTGATCATCTGCAGTGATTCTGGAGCCCCCACAAAATAAAGTCTCTCACTGTTTCCATTGTTTCCCCATCTATTTGCCATGAAGTGATGGGACCGGATGCCGTGATCTTAGTTTTCTGAATGTGGGGTTTTAAGCCAACTTTTTCACTCTCCTCTTTCACTTTCATCAAGAGGCTCTTTGGTTCTTCTTCACTTTCTGCCATAAGAGTGGTGTCTTCTGCATATTTGAGGCGATTGATATTTCTCCCAGCCATCTTGATTCCAGCTTGTGCTTCATCCAGCCCAGCATTTCTCATGATGCACTCTGCATATATAAAAGTTAAATAAGCAGGGTGACAATATACAGCCTTGATGTACTCCTTTTCCTTTGGAACCAGTCTGTTGTTCTATGTCCTGTTCTAACTGTTGCTTCTTGACCTGCATACAGATTTCTCAAGAGGCAGGTCAGGTGGTCTGGTATTCCCTTCTCTTGAGGAATTTTCCAGAGTTTCTTGTGATCCACACAGTCAAAGTCTTTGGCGTCGTCAATAAAGCAGAAGAAGATGTTTTTCTGGAACTCCATTGCTTTTTTGATGATCCAACAGATGTTGGCAATTTGACCTCTGGTTCCTCTGCCTTTTCGAAATCCAGTTTGAACATCTGGAAGTTCATGGTTCATGTACTGTTGAAGCCTGGCTTGGAGAATTTTGAGCATTACTTTGCTAGTGTGTGAGATAAGTGCAATTTTGTGGTAGTTTGAGCATTCTTTGGCGTTGCTTTTCTTTGTGAATGAAGTGAACAGACCTTTTCCAGTCCTGTGGCCACTGCTGAGTTTTCCAAATTTGCTGGCATATTGAGCTGGCATATCATCTTTTAGGATTTGAAATAGTTCAGCTGGAATTCCATCACCTCCACTAGTTTTGTTCATAGTGATGCTTCCTAAGGCCCACCTGACTTCACATTCCAGGACGTCTGGCTCTAGGTGAGTGATCACACCATTGTGGTTATCTGGGTCATGAAGATCTTTTTTGCATTGTTCTTCTGTGTATTCTTGTCACTTCCTCTTAATATCTTCTGCTTCTGTTAGGTTCATACTATTTCTATCCTTTGTTGTGCCCATCGTGCATGAAATGTTCCCTTGGGATCTCTAATTTTCTTGAAGGGATCGATAGTCTTTCCCATTCTATTGTTTTCCTCTATTTCTTTGCACTGATCACTGAGGAAGGCTTTGTTTTTTATCTCTCCTTGCTATTCTTTGGAACTCTGCATTCAGATGGGTATATCTCTTCTTTTCTCCTTTGCCTTTCACTTCTCTTCTTTTCACAGCTATTTGTAAGGCCTCCTCAGACAACCATTTTGCCTTTTTGCATTTCTTTTCCTTGGGGATGGTCTTGATCTCTGCCTCCTGTACAATGTCACAAACCTCCGTCTATAGTTCTTCAGGCACTCTGTCTATTAGATCTAATCCCTTGAATCTATTTGTCGCTTCCACTGTATAATCGTAAGGGACTCGATTTAGGTCATACCTGAATGGTCTAGTGGTTTTCCCTACTTTCTTCCATTTCAGTCTGAATTTGGCCATAAGGGGTTCTTGATCTGAGCCACTGTCAGCTCCTGGTCTTGTTTTTGCTGAGTGTGTAGAGCTAATGGTCTATTGTTCCCCTTTTCACAATGGTCACCAGGGCAGCTCTTTGACTGGTAGCCACTGTAACTCCTTTTCCTGGGGGGTTGGGTAGATGGGGTGGTAGGGGAGTTGGTGAAGAAAGCAATTTGCATGTGACTGGGATTTACGGAGCCCAGGAGCTAATGTTCTCTATTGGAATGTATGAGAAATTACACCGAATTGTAAACAATCAGACTCATTCCTGACATATATATTCTTTTTGAAGGAACTTTTTATTTGTAGAAAATCTGTTGTCTCGTCTACACTGGACTGATTCTTAGACATGACCTCAAGGGAAGCACTGTTTTCTATTGACAGAAGCACTGTGGGGGCGGGGCATGGGAGGGA